AATATGGTGCTAAGAATGGCGAGACTCACTGACGATGCCGACTACGATGCCGGCGAAACGTCTGGGAATGAACCACGTCCACAGTCCTACTCTGGAAATAATGTTGCATACAATGGACTCCGGACAAAGTGCGTTCCTCTAAGTCTTCCTACCAAAAGGAAATGATCATGCATACAATGGACTCCGGACTAGGTGCGTTCCTCTAAGTCTTCCTACCAATTTGACCATGTTGCCAAGGTCAAACAACTTCTATACAACGAAAGGAGACTGCGACCACACAAAAGGCCACACCATCTTGGTCTTAATATCTTCGTACTATAATTATGATTCACTCGATTGAAATGTAAACAAAATCTTACACAAAGGTGTAATTTTAGAATGCAAACCAGTAGAAGCCTCAAAGCAGAATAAAACAATTATATATATCAGGGCTCTATTTTTTAATCGTCGGTTAATTTAAAACAATTTAACGTACACATATCTACACTAACCCCAAAATGATTAATGTAAAGAAGTAATAAAAACAGATAACACAGAATATGTACAACAGAGAATTAGTAGAGCTCTATTTTTCCTCAGAGGTATCATTAATATATTATAATATGACTAAAATCAACATCATTCAGATTAAAGCATGGCTGCCACAAGAGATTCTAGCTAACTCATAATTATTTTCGATATAAATTAGGTGCTTTACGAAAGTGGATGATGCGTAAGGTGTGGATGGATAAGGGGAATTTCGTACGAGTGCGAAATATGATTTATCCAAAAGATATACAAATCTGGAGTACAAACTGATAGAATTCAGTAATGGAAATTGTGTAGAGACGATATGTTTACGGGGAGCTGAAAATATAAAGGTGAAGATCTTTTCTCACAAATTAACTTTCAATTAAATTATTATGCTAGTATATTATAATATTATTTGTGAATATTTTTCCACAAATTTGTATAGGCGACCTCAATTAGTTAAAATAAATAGGAAGATTTGAGCTATTTAATTTTAAAGCTAAAATGGAAATATACCATTTATTAATTATTCCAATGAAACTAAAGTTAAATTATAGAGACAAGATAAAAGAGTTTTTATGTAGGTGTTGCTGCACTGTGTAGTTTATGATGAAGTTTATATGCATTTTAATATCACTAACCTTGCTGATAGTTTTTACTTATGGTTTTTGCAGTCAGATTAATTGTTGTAATTAGTACTATTGCCAAGGGATCAATTGCGATTTAGGCTGTGGTGATAATAATGGTGATTATGCTATCAACATTGTAACTCGTAGCTTTTGTAGTTCCAGTTCATAGTGGTACTAAAGGAAGCATTGTGGAGGATCCATTGATAATTAGTTTGAGTTTATTACCCAAAAATATATCGCTATTATTCGTTTCGGTTATAACTAACATTATTTGCCCTAGTTACTGATTGCTTTATTAATGTAATAATCATCGTTGCAGTCGTGGTTGGTGTTATCAGATTACTAATTGTTTCACTGTACTCAGTCTTGCTTGTTACGTCCTTTGTTCTTCATATCTGTAATCTTTTTAACTGCATTTATTCCCTAATTGGCACAACGATAATAAGCGTATTTGCTTGAGGTTAAAGCATACGCTGAAATGATTCCTTGTTTGCTGTCCCATCTGGTCCATAGCCGATGGAAGCCAAACAAATATTGATCAGTGAGTTAAAGGTATTATGGAAAATATGTGGTCGCAGTCTCCTTTCGTTGTGTATAAGTTGTTTGACCTTGTATTCGCCAGTTGGTCATATTGGTAGAAAAACTTAGAGGAACACCCATAGTCCGGAGTCTATTATATGAATGATAATTTCCAAAGTCAGACCCTGGACGTGTGTGCCAACCCACAAATGTTGTGGTTCAACAATGAACCTAATCAAAGCAAGCAGTACCACAAAATTATGAGCCACGGTTGTGGGCTTTGTCCAAGTATAAGGATGTAAGCCCCTACCAAGGGAAAAAAATCAATGGAAGGGGTGACTAATTAGAGTCGGATGATTAATAGCCAAACGGTACCATAAGTATTACAACGATTGGAATAAATGCAAATTCATAGCTTAGACAACTAGTAAGGTGTGCAGGTAAATAATTTATATTCTGATACCATAAATCTGAGACAAATTTGTTGCGTACAAAGAAATATATATTTGTCCTGATGTAAGATGGCAGCTTTTAGTTAACCAAAATGGAAAATGCCTCTCAAAAGGCATAAAACTTGTCCAAAGTTGAAACTGATACTTAAAATATGCTTAAGTAACTAATGATAAGTTAACGTTGTCATTTACGATGTTGCTATGGTTGCTGTTATTGCTGTACTAACAATGTTCATTGTAAAAATACTCCAAGAACAATTTGAAGACCGCTAATAACTGTTTACCTTTGTTACTAACTAAGGAGGCACGGGACATCATCAAGGCTTCTTCACGGAGGCGTCGAAGCTGCGTCACCAAAAGCTCATTAATGCGACGCTCCCAACAGGAGCGCGTTGCTGAATCAGGAGCTTGGAGCACAAAAGTATTCATCCGATTAGCAGACCACACAGAGAAGCGGCGCTGCTCATGACGTGTACTCGGAGTAAGGCCAATTTGGGAAAGCTAAGAATCATTTAATTGATAGGAAAAAGTATGAGAATGCTGGAAAAATAATGAGATCCGCTGCAGCTCATACATCAATGAAGTGATAGCCAATAGCAGAATTAATGATGCCGTTTTGTGACCACAATCCTAAACAAGGAATTTCGTATAAAATGTAAATCCAAATAAAAAATCTGGTAAAAAAAAGAGCGATTATTACTGAGAATGATAGCTTTAGACATTTGGCAGAATATGATAAAAAGAAAAAAAAGCAAAATATAATCAGCGCCTATGTCTAAGAATAACATAACAAGAAAAACAGGATTTGCTTGAATTGAAGGAAGGAGACAATGAAAGGCAAAAATTAGTGTTTAGTTAAGTGGATTGATACATGTCAGTTGAAGAAAAAATTGAAAAAAATCATGAGCAATTGTCGCATTTTTAGATGAAAAAATAATCATTGCAGAATATTATCTTCATTTTTGACCAGTAAAAGCCCATTAAATCTATTAATGCCTCGTAAGTTGATCTATACTCAGGTAGTACGATGTGTCAAGGCCGAGTGGCACGAGATGAAACGTGATAGATTATCCTTTAATAGGAAGTGGAAAGAGCAAATCAGGATATCTGACATCAAAAATTAGTCAATTCTACAAAGACTAGCTACAAAAGTAAGATTAAATAAAATGAGGACGCTTTTAAATATCAGAAGAGAACAAATGTCTAACCAAGTGGCAGAAGCAAAAGAACAAACTAGCCAACGAATAAAGTAAGTGCAGAAACTAGGGGTGCTCTGAAGAGATATGCCTAAGCCATTCCACTCGGAGAACTGTCAATAAAGGTGCAGCAAGACGTAGCTTCAAATAACCATACATCAATAACTAATAAAGGACAATATTTATACTAATGTGTGAAAGAAAGCGAAGTGGATGGTGAAACAAGTTCAAGTAAGACTAAAGTAGAGG